GATTCCAGTGTTTACAGCAAAAACACGAGAAGAGAAATGACTCAGTTCAGACAACATTAGTTATAGAAAAGCACACAGAAAACTCTCAGTTCCTGTAAACAGTTAGTTTAGGGTAAAAAGATGAGCTAATCTAACTCCTGCAGAGCTGGCTCACCCCACTTGTCTCCTGCGAAAGAACCGTCCTCCTGCTGAAGCCCTTTAACATATTCCACCACTTTGTCCACGTCGAGCGCGTCCACGCTGCCGTACAAGCACAAGATCTGAGGAGGAGATACGAAAACGCAAGACTGTGAGCTCAAACCTGAGGAAACAAACCTTGTTTTATAGTCCAGGATACTTTAAAGTACATCCATATTTGTTTTCAACATTCTGATTCATTGTGTAAAAAAGATGAAGTTTAATCCGACCTGAACGGCACTGAGGGTGTAGAGCAGGTGCGGGTCGTGCCCGATGCTGGCGCTGACGCCTCCGCACTCGTGCTGGCAGGCTTTGATGAAATCTATGATCTCCTGCCGSCTCATTCTGTGCAGCTGACCCATCAGGTCCATCACTGTCAAACCCCAGTAGATCCCGCTCATCCTCAGGTACTCCGACAGCGTGTACTCCTAGCAACACAACATACTTTGAACAGCTTGGTAAATGGCTCAGTGTTTAGTGTCGTCATCCTCTGATCAGAGGGTCAGGGGTTCGATCCAAACCTCCTGCAGCATCTTTGAGTGAACCACTGTAAGACAGATCATTCTCAGATTGCAACTCACCAAGTTTCAGACATCTCTAATGAGGGATTTCAAAATAAAATGCACTCAAAATCAACACAAGGTGCTTTTTCTCTATTTTTAGATGCAAAAAAGAAAAATTTCTACATCAAATCTGTCTGAAACTTAGTTGTGGCCTCCTGGGAATGTGTAGTCTTCAACAAACGTCAAATGTCAGATTTATTTGCTTCTAAAAATTGAGWAAAAGTACCTCGTACGAGAAAATAYACCTCCGCCGTAATGACTGGTGTAATCACGCACWACAGGTTTGAATGACAGTTTAGCTAGCTTACCGAATCAGGGGATGGCTCTAACTTAYTTAAGGTGTAATTTTGAAAACAGATTTTGAATCCCTTCTAACATAATCTCAGAATTGTATAACCTGGTATCTAATCAAAAATAAAACTTACATAGTCGTCCTTCTTGGAGCCGTAGGCAGCGATGTAATCTGCATGTTTGTCCAGCTGCAGCGAGCTGGGAGCGTCAGGTTTAATGATAACATCTTTCAGCTGAGCACTCTGACAATAAAACACACAACAAAATAAATATTATTTTTACCWCGAAAAATAATGTAAGTCTGCAATATTGCATTTTAAATACGTCCTAAATAAGTGGAAACGCACTACTGTGTGGACACGCTGCTACATCATCATGCTAACGCTAGCTGCTTTCAGAAGCTAACCGTGAGTTAAACAAAACTATTGGACAAAAAAATAATCTAGTTCACRTTTATACCCACACAGATTACAAACTTAATTTCTAAAACAAAACAAATAAAGCGCAGAAACAGTTTAATGTTTACCATTTTGGGCGGTGCAGCTTGTAACTTCCGGGTTTCTTCTTCTGCTTAGATTTTTACGGTAGCTGAATGGTTAACACAACGGTTTAAAGTGGTTTGACGCCACCTTCAGCCTCGGATGAAGTACTACAAGAAGCAACTCCAAACAGCCATTTAAAGAGAAATTCACTTTCCAACAGTAAAAAATTAAAGAAATAATCAACTGAACACACATTTCCTTAATTCTRGGGCCAAATTTATTAACTACAAATAAATTACACAGATGTTTCTAAAAATCAAAACTAAGCAAGTCTTCCAGAATGAAACTAAAATTTGAATACATGCTGAGACAATTCATCAAACACCACAGACASCCTCAAGCTTTACACACTAACATCTCTCCACATTCTGGTGAAAAAAATTCATTTAAACATTTGTTTTACAGATATGATCTTTACAATAAGTGCAGTTAGATGTTAAAAATAGGTTAAGGCATGAATAAGTGCAGAGCAAGAAAAGAAAAAGAAAAAGAAAAAACGTAAGTGTGAAGATGAAATTTGAAATTGTGTCAAGTTCAACTGTAAGAAGTTTGTCAATTTAGGCTTGATATCAACAGTGAAACAATAATTAATGCTTAGAAATAATCAACAAATAATCTTATAGTGACAAGCAAATAAATCCCGTTAAATTGGATGTGCTGCAAATTAAAAAGTTGACGGGTTTTTCCTTCATGATGATGTAAAACAGTGGTCTTCATTTTTATTTTCACAATCAGATTTATTTATTTTTTATTTTCACAATCAGATTTATTTATTTTTTATAAGGCAAACATCTACAGCTGCGTCTTTCAGCGGATGGCTCGTTTTACAGAAATGTTATGTACAGACGATGCGTCCAGCGGCTCGGTTCATTTCTTGAACTTTCCCAGGTGTTCTCTGGCGATGATGAGCCTTTGGATTTGAGCTGTGCCTTCGTAGATCTACAAAAAAAAAAAAGTAAAAGGTTAGATTAATAAAAAGACGATCAGCTCGCTGCGGGTCCGGTTCACCGACGCCCACCTGGTAGATCTTGGCGTCCCTCATCAGCTTCTCCACTGGGTAGTCGCTGTTGAAGCCGTTGCCTCCAAAAATCTGCACGGCGTCCGAGGCCACCTGGTTGGCRATGTCACCTGCGAAGGCCTTGGCGATGGAGGCGTAGTAGGTGTTCCTGCGACCCTGGTCCCGTTCCCAGGCGGACCGCTGGTACGCCATCCTGGCCAGCTCCACCTTCATGGCCATCTCAGCCAGCAGGAACGACACGGCTTGATGCTGTACGACATCGTTCCGTTAGTCACGGGGGGAACAAAAATAAAACACACGTGACAGATGTTTGGCGCCAACGAACCTCGGCGATGGGCCGGCCGAACGTCTTTCTCTCCAAGGCGTAGTTGGTGGCTTCATCCAGAGCTCTCTGAGCCAAACCTGTCGCTCCTGCTGCGACCTGAACGACAGCAAATCACAGAATCTGTTCAGTTCTGCTTCTGCCTGTTTTATTTTTATCACTGTGACCAGTCCTGTGTGTGTGGGGTAAAGGCAGGTTCCAGGTGGAGGACTCACCGGTGGTCTGGTGTTGTCAAAGGCACCCATGGCGATTTTGAAACCGGCTCCTTCGCCGATCAGGACGTTCTCCTTGGGCACCCTGACGTCTTCAAAGGTGATGCCTCTGGTGTCGGAGCACCTCTGACCCATGTTCAGCTCCTGGGACAAACACAGACAGCTCTGATGAAATCGCATTGACGGTGAAGGTATTTTAAAGAAACGAGATGAAGTCAGCGATATGAAATAAAAACGTTTCCCTCATACTTCTATTTTTCTAGTTTCTGAAGTGTTGAAGAAAAAGGACAACCGTCTTACCTTCCTTCCTATTTGAACTCCAGGAGTGTCTGCTTCCACGATGAAGCCAGTGAAAGCTTTGCTGGCTGGACATTTGGGATCAGGGTCGGTGCGGGCCAGAAGGAAATACCTGAAAAGAGTTTAAATAACAATAACAACAGATAAAACAGAGTTGTTGTTGGAGGAAATTCAGACTTTACTGAACCCAGATTGGGGAACTCTTATGGAACAATCTCCCACTTCCTGTAAGACGAGCCCGTTCCCTGTCCAATTATTCCCTGGCTTTTGTCGTTTTATTTGATTTTACTCTGTTTTTTGCAGATGTGGTTGTTTTAAAGTACCCATGACATGAAATTTTTAGAATAAATATAAAYGCATKAATGGAAGGACAACWTTAAWAACATATTGCAAAAATTATTTCACGTCGCTGTGATGAATGGTTGATGAGATAATTGCATGTGAAGGAACAGGAAGTGATGTCAAAGGGGAATGTCTGAATGTGAACAGAGCATTGCTACAATAACTTAACAACACAAAGACTCTGATGTTTCTTTAGATTATTTTGAGTCAGAGAGAGGAAGACGAGTCGGGGTTAGTTAAAGCTCAAATCATGTTTCAAAAAACACAGACCATATTCTTAAAGAGTTCCCCTTAGTGATGTCACTTCCTGTTTCACTTTGGTTGAGTCAAGTTCAAAAGAAAATATRMCAATTATKTGACAAAATGGGTAAAAYTCATGTTATGCAAGGTTTCTTAAATAAAAAAGGTGCTTTCTTTAACTTTTTGTATTTGATGGACAGGCATGTAGTGGTACTAGTAGTAGTAGTATTAGTACTAGTAGTAATTATTACTTTTTAAAGAGCAAACTGGACATCAGAACACGCACCAGTTAGCTTTCCCTCCGTTGGTGATCCACATCTTCTGTCCGTTGATGACGTACTCGTCGCCCGACTTCACCGCTCGGGTCTTTATGCCGGCCACATCAGAACCCGCCCCGGGTTCAGTAACGCAGTAGGCCTGCCGAGGATAAAATAAACCACGTCTGATTCTTAAAAAGGGATCCACGATTAGTTGTAACATTAAACTTTATTTCATAAACATTTATTTTAACGAAAAATAAAGACTAAAAATATTGTAGGATGTTCAATTTTGTAAAATTTTTGAAAATATATTTTAACACGGACAGAGCCATTTTATTTACACACAAAGCATTCTGGGTAAATGATGACGTGGATAGGTCCTCGGTGCTAGCGAGCTATATCCACCCTGAAGGTTAATCTTGGACAATATCTGAYGATCGACTCTTTTAAATGAAACCAGAGAGCGTTGACAGAGAGGAGAAGGTAGAAATGACTCAGCCTGKAACTGAAAATATAGGTGGAGGACAACAGAGCTGCTTCATGGAAGAAGAACCTCAGCTTAGCCTGTTAGCTTTAGCTCCAATGCTATATTGCCTTATTAGCGCTGCGCTAGCGCGACAAACTAACAAGCTAAACTGAGGTCCTCCATCCATATTTTCAGTTGCAGACTGAATCAAATATAATGGGGCTCAGTCCGTGTAATTGATTTTTAAAATTTTAGTTTAAAATTGATAAAAACTAAACATCCTACAGTATTTTTACAGTCTTTATTTTACAGTTAAAACAAACGTTTGTCAAATAAAGTCTAATGTAATCTTAGATCCCTTTAGAAGGTTAACCTCAAATGACATCTGTTCAGTAAAACGTCTTATTAAAACTCCACTCACACACATGAGAGGCTCCTCCGTCAGCCTCCCCAGGTATTTCTTCTTCTGGGCCTCGTTTCCAGCGAGAATAACAGGCATTTGCTGCAAAACAAGTTAAAGCTTTCTCTTATTGGCGTTAAAAACAATACAGCCGAGTTTAAAATTAACTTTCAGCTCTCRGTCTGTTGCCCATTAGAAGCATCACGTCTGTAAAACTCACTCCCAGGGAGTTGGCCTCTATGGCGGTCTGCATTCCTGTGCAGGCGTACGCCAACTCCTCTGTGATCAGGCAGGAGTCAAAGATGGGCAGACCCATTCCACCTGAAGAACAACAACAACTCATCAAGTGTCAATAAACAGATTTATCCACTAATGTGTTACATAAAACACACGTTTTACACTGAGCACAACATATTTACAACCAAACATGCACAAAAAGAGGAAGAGCAAGATTTGACAATAAAAGGTTTATTATTTAAAAAACTTACCATATTCCTGTGGAATGTGACCGTTCACCAAACCGAGCTCCCACGCTTTCTTAATGATGGGGAACGGATACTGAGGAATAGATTTATAAATTGTTAAACTTTCTTTGAAKTTAGTTTTTAAACTTCTGCTTTAGATCAACAGAAATTGTTTTTAAATCCTGTTGTTCTGAGTCTGACTGCCATAAATACAACATTAAAGCCATAATAGCTGTCAATATACATGTATTTTTTAGTGTTTATGTTTCCATTTCCATTGTTCTTGGATTATTTTACCGACACCATGATTTTGCTCACTTCCAGTAGTAGGTGCAGCTAAACAAAACGTTTGCTTTGCTAACTCCTAATCTGCTAACGCTTACCAACGCTAGCCAGYTAAACATGTAAAAAAACTAACTAGTGGAAGCTAATGCTAAAAAAGTAAAAATGAACAGAAGCTAACACTAATACCTAAATCGCTAGCCGCTCAGACGACTCAGTCTCTCACATATCTTTGTCTCCTTCCAGCTGAAGACTGATGGGACACAGACCAGATAATCTTAGCTCGTTAGTTAGCGGTTAGCAGCCTTAAAAGTTGGCAAAACCTAATATATCAGAAGCTAATTGGTCCACTGAGTTTTCAAAGTTAAYAAAAAAGATAATCTGCTAAACAAAATATTCATCCCTCAGCTGTAAGCTGACTAGCATTAGCATGCCCACCACTCATTTATTACAAATTATGGGGTAAACTTTTGATAGTGAATGATGCTGTGATTACTTTTAAATCATAGATGATACACATAATTATGATTCAAATCAGAAATTTCATAATAAATGGCATATTTTGGCAGCTATTATGGCTTTAAGCTATTTGTAAAAATAAAAAAAGAATATTTTGTATCCTTTTTACAACAGTGAAAACAAACATGTCAGTTTGATTCTTGTTAAACTTACCTCACCGCTTCTGTCATAAGCAGGAGCAACAGGGATCATCTCTTCACGAGCAAACTTCCTCGCCAGCTGCTGGAACTCCTTCTGCTGATCCGTCAGCTCTGCAGCACAGAGTTAAAAACACAAAACTGTTTACAAATGAAGTTTACTGAGAGATAAATGCAAACAACTAATCTGGCCCATCTTTTCATTTCTGGTTCTGTACTCTGCTTACCAAACGAGTAGCCGAGGGATCCGGCAGGACTGCTGGAAGCAGCTGAAGCTGCTGCAGCACCGGAGCTCTGCAGACGAATCCCAGACTGAAGACCGGCTCTGAAGACCTGCATGAAGAGCCATGATCAGCGTCAGACATATTCACACTTTTTACATAAAAATAAATAAAAAATAACTTAAACATAAGACACCACTGGTACTACAGGGCTGCCTGAGGGAGACTGGACCAGCTCTTTACCCTCACTAGGGTCGTTAAAAGGGTGTGGGAGTTCAGCCTGACCTATTGTGGGTTTGAAGAAGAGCCAGTTCTTTTTTGGCACACCAGTCAAACATTAACATTTTTATGTTTTCTAGTCATCCAGTGCACAATTTCGAAGTCATTAGTCGAGAATAGGCATAAAAAAGTTAATATTTTATTTTATTTTTTAATCTGTCAACTTCATTTTCACCTAAACTCACATAAAAGTCATCCATTAATGACCATTGTGCAGCTAAATAATAAAGGGAAAACACTATAAATTAGCAGCGAAAMAAAAAAACTTAGAAACTGATAACTCAGGTTTTAGCCGCTGTAGCATTTTGCTAACTCGTTAGCCTACGTAGCCCAACAAATCACGGCTAGTGTCTACGAATACATAACAAATTCAACACTAAACGACAATAATAACTAGTTAATTATATAACAAAAATAAGAAGAGAATGTACCTTATTGAGCAGCATTTTAATGGCAAAGATTAAATCAAAACTGATAGAGCCTCCTACTCCACATCGACATGAACACTCTTTAAACCAATCAGAGCAGCTGGATTGGTCACGTGTGATATCACTCCAACCAATCAGCGTAGCGGATTTAGTCACATGTTTCACACTGGCGTCTCCGCTGACTTYTGTCCCAGTTCCTCTAGTTATCTAATGACGTTCACCTGTTTATAGCAAACTTTACCAGAATGATCAAGGTGACAGTTTATGCATATAAAACTATTACTGGAGTTTTTTTTGTTTTTACTTAGAACTGCACTAAGGGTTAATAACACATATGGTTTTAAAATTGTATTTTTATTAGGGCTGTGAAATTAATCAAGTTAACTGATTAATATTAGTGCTGGATGGGCATAGAATAAAAATTTTAATCGCGATTAAAATTTACAATCACTTTCCTCTGGCTGAATATGTAGGTTTGTATATTGCAATGCACTCAGTGCATGCCGGGTAATGTTTGTAAATGAGAAGTKGTTCTCAAACAGTTTACCTGGATAAAAGTTAAATAAATAAAACAATTAAAAAACTCCATGTGTAACACATGTAGTTTGTTTCTTAAGGCTTATTTTATTTGTTTTGCTGACAACTGCGATCTTAATCTCTTTTATTCCTCATTTGGAATGAAAACCCTTGGATTCTTGATTTAACCATTGTTCTGCACAAAATTTAACTGACTCAAATGTTTGGAGCATTTTTTTTAGGTTGTTTTATATTTTAATAATCATGTCTAAGTATCATTTTTGTTTTCTGAATAAAAAAACAAAGTAATTTATTTTATCAATATGCAATAGTAATGTATATTAAATTTATGATTAATCATGATTAATTCATAGCTACTTTGGGATTATCAGATTAAAAATATTAATCATTTGATAACCCTAATTTTTATTTAACAAAGTGCTTTCTGCAACATGTCAACAAAAAAGTTTTATAGTTACAATACCCGCAACTTAAGCCGTTAAACTTTATTCTTTTTTAAAAGTACATGTGTTAAATGTGTCTTCCGTGGTAACAACAAATAGCTCATTTTCAATGAAAGGACAAACAGCACCCAGATGTGGGACATTTGGATTTTATTGACGTATTAAACAGCTGTACATCTATTTGCCTTTCTTGGCCTTGATCTTCCTCAGGTAGAACTCGAGCTCTTTGCCCTCCAGGATGTAGCCGTCCGCCCTGCCGCACTGGCCCGGTCTGGAGGCGATGCAAGCTGGGAAAACGACAACAAAACATGAAAAACAGAACCAAACAAACACAGAAATCAGGGTTTATGAACATTTAAAAACCACAATTTTTAAAGGAATCTSCTTTTAAACACATTCAAGTTAAACTGGTGAATACTTTTCAATAAAAAAGCTTTTATTKGCCGAATATCCCTCGATTAAGGAATCAAAAAAGGCAAAAAGACAGTATCTTAATATAAAATACCAACATTTTGCAGATGTTAGTGCTCAGAACTAGTCTTTCTCAGTATCTTGATTGTCACCACTTCCATTCAGCAGCAGAACTGACAAGAGTTTTTATCATCACAGAAAGACGTTCAGACAAAAACGCAAGGTAAATTTATTTTCCTAATGTTTATCTAACGTGTTAAATTCCAATTTCTGTTGTGTCACCAAAATAAAATCAATTTTACCAAAAACATTTTAAAGCCAAAATATTAGCTTCAAGAATTTTTTGTAAAACATTTAACAAAATAAGAGCTTCTATTTTATCAATGTGTCATTTAAAAATTAATCTCCTTCCAGGTTGGTTTTACACCGATCACATTTTGTTGAGCCTAACTTTGAGCCGAAAGGCCACTTGTTTGTCTTACCGAGCAGTTTTCCCTGCAAGAACTGTTCTTCGAGGAGATTGCTGATTTTGGCCGTCTTTTTACGCTCATCGTACTTTTTCTGGGTCTTCTTRGACCTCTTTTTGTTGATGAGATCCTCCTCCTCTGGAGTCTGAGCAAAGGAGAAAGCAAAGACTTTAAAACAATAAAGTTATTTTTTTTTGTTGCAGATTTTAGTGTCAGTTGTCTTTCTCAGGGTCTTGTTTATCTTCCTTTTCACTCAGTAGCAGAACTGACAAATTATCATCATAGAAAGACCATCAGACGGCACTTTTATTGAACCAGTCGAGTAGTTTTACCTTGTTATAGCAAGTTTTATAAAAACACTAAATTTTGAACAAAAATGGCAAATTCAAAGCAGATTCCATACCAGCTTGGCGCCCTTCTTGCGTCCCAGAGGAATGGCGTAGTGGGCCTCATACCACTGCCTGAAAGGAAGACTGTCCACCAGAATGATGCAGTTCTTCACCAGGGTCTTGGTTCGGACCAGCTCGTTGTTGGAGGCRTTGTAAACCACATCAATGATCCTGGTCTTGCGTGTGCAGCCTGAGAACAGAATCCACAGTCAGGAACTAGAAAACTTTTTTTAAATGATCTTAGTCGTAATAATTTGTTTTTTTCTCAGAGTCTTTAATCTCATCGCTTGCATTCAGTAGCAGAACTGGAGTTATCATCATTGAAAAGCAGCATCAAGAATATTTTCAAACGCGTTAATCGCAAAACTTACTCTCAGAGCCCCAAGAGAAGTTTCCAGAATCCAACCTGAGAGCACGGTACTTCTTGTTCCCACCGCGTACCCTCACTGTGTGGATGCGACGAGGTCCGATCTACGAGGACAGATTTAAAAGTCTGAATCACTCGGAGCCAAACCAGCGGCACAAACAGTTGCGTGTTGAAGCGTGTCAGTGTAACTATGACAAGTCCTAGCATTGATGGGCCCAAAGCTTTGAGCCAAAACGGCACAAAAACAAAACCCACCTAAGGTCAAGCTTTCATCACCCACGCTGCTTTTAGCAAAACTTAACGAGAGAACCCCACTTTCCTCACCTTTGTGTTTGCAGGTGGACGCCCGAGCTCATACTTCCTCTTCTTGTGATAGGGTTTGCGTTTACCACCGGTTTTGCGGCGTTTATGCCAGTTGTCCCTTGAGATACCTGCATTGGGGTTAAAACACAAACAACCGGGTGTTARATTACTGCATCGCAGATCATTAATGAAAAAAAAATTTACTTTGTTAAGCTTGAGTGATCAGTTCTCCAAGGTAGTTTGTCCACATTGTGTTTCTGGAATCCGCATAAATAAGTTTCATCACATCACTCAAGCAACTTATATTTTATGGGGAAATTACCAAGAGCTTCCTATAACTAAAATATAATAGGCAGATTGAAACAGCAAATCAAGTATTAAATTAACAAAAATCATGAATTTAATGATTAATTTAAGCCAATAGCAGCCAAACTGTGGGGTTACAAGTCCAACAAGCACGCACAGCTATCAAACTCGTTTAAACATAATAGCATTCCAGCTAATAAAAGAAAATTTACAATTAAAACAGATCTACTGTACGTATCAAGCAGAAGCATGACACGACACACATGCTAGCTAAAGCTAACGTTGTCCGCTAAATAAAACAAAGCTTCTAGAGTCAAAACAGCTTCAGATAAACTGACATGTAGTTTTATAAACTCTACCTCCAATAAAACATCTCAAGCCTCCAGAGCAGTCACATTAACAGTGCAGAAACACACTTCCAGCACCTAGCAGCTAACTGCACGGACGATGAGAACAGCCATCTTGGAACATTTTTCGGTCATCCACTTGAACTTACTTCAATAAAACAAAACCCACCGCGGATAAACATTAAAGGTAGGTACTTTAGTGTTTCTATATAATTTAGCTTTAATAAGGCAAACCATCTTGAGCGTTATTCTTCGTTAAAACGTTAGATGGAGAGGGATTGTGCCTCCGAGTACAGTGAAAAAACACATACCCATTCTCAGGCGCCGGCTAGAAAGAGGAACCGCTAAGGATCATGGGAAAGTTTCAAGCCTCGAGTTCTCGCGAGATTTGACGCCACGAGAGAAGGAAGCACTTCCGTTTGCCTTGTAAAAATAAATAAACCCCAAATGTCATTTTATTTATTAATATTTATATTTTAAACAGACCAGATCCTTTCTAACAAATAGAATATTGCTTTTATTTTACATTCAAAGTCAATATTTTGATATATTAATCCAGTGAGTCATAATATTTTACCATTTCTAATTTAAAAACAATTTTAAAGAAATACACACGTGACCAGTGCTGTCAAAGAGAGACACTTGATTTTGTTTTCAATATTGATTTAATATTTTTAAAATCTACATCACAAAAGCTTCAAAATTGTTTGTAGTTTGTCGAAAGTTAGCGATTACAAGAGTGCCGGTCTGAAAAGTTGATTTTTATTGAGAGTGATGTCTTTGGGAATTTCTGCCCTATATACACCTTTTTTTAAGGGAACCCCCTAAGCATCACAATGAAACATTAAACAAAGGGATTTCCCAATACTACAACAGGACATAATATACATTCAGTACATAAATTTAACTGAATATGAATTTAATTGAGCTTACCCATAGGCCACATCTGGTCCATTGAACCACCAGTTAAATAGTCCTTTTTAGTAGATTAATTTTTACGCAAATCTAACAAACAGTAAAAATAGATAGTCTTTGTTTTTGCACTGCAGCCTGTGCTCTTTCTTATTACAAAGACAGTAACATTAATATAAAATTCAAAACTGTGGAACTATTATTTTAAATGTAAATGGCTTTAAGAAATGTTTAAATTGAACTTCCATTTGGTAAGCATTTGAATATAATTTTTCTAAAGTAATATTTTGTACAAAAAAGGCAAAAAGATATATATACACTCC